GGAGGTATGGGGGGGGAGAAAAAAATGAGGGAGGGATGGGGGGAAAGAAAACAGTGGGGGGGAGAGGGGGGACTACATACACACAGCACCCTTGCCCTACACATAACCCACACACATCACCCCCCCCCCACACACATCACCTCACACACAAACACATACACTGTACCCCTCAATGCAGTGTGTGTACACTCAGCAGTCTGTCTGTGTGTGTGTACACTCAGCAGTCTGTCTGTGTGTGTGTACACTCAGCAGTCTGTGTGTGTGTACACTCAGCAGTCTGTGTGTGTGTGTACACTCAGCAGTCTGTCTATGTGTGTGTACACTCAACAGTCTGTCTGTGTGTGTGTACACTCAGCAGTCTGTCTGTGTGTGTATACACTCAGCAGTCTGTCTGTGTGTGTATACACTCAGCAGTCTGTCTGTGTGTGTGTGTGTGTGTGTGTATTTAGCAGTCTGTGTACTCAGCAGTCTGCTAAATACAGACAGACTGCTAAATACACACAGACAGACTGCTAAATACACAAACAGACAGACTGCCGAGCACACACACAAACTGCTTAATACACACACACAGAGATGTTAATTAGTTCGGACAACTGTATGTGTTGTTTTTTCTAAACTTAAACTTCAGTATTTAGGTTTAATTGCCGTTTTGGCACTTTGAGGGAAAAAAATTGGCATGTATTACGGTTTGGGCACTCGGGCTCAAAAAGGTTCGCCATCACTGGTATATACACTGAACAAAAGTATAAACACAACACTTTTGTTTTTGTCCCCATTTTTAGTGACCTGAACTTAAAGATCTAAGACTTTTTCTCTGTACATAAAAGGCCTGTTTCTATCAAATATTGTTCATAAATCTGTCTAAATCTGTGTTAGTGAGCACTTCTCCTTTGCGAGATAATCCATCCAACTCACAGGTGTGGCATATCTAGATGCTGATAAACCAGGTTCTTCCCTTCTCAGTCTCCTCTTATGTCTAAGTCACATTGTTTTTATGAGGGGCACAGGGTAACCAGGAAACAGAGTCTGGCATGCCCAAACCAGATTTCCACAAACTAATCAGCTATTAGGGCTCCATGCACTCCTGGCACCAAAACCACTGAAATATACAATAGTGGATACACTGCTTGGAGTGTTATTTCAAGGTACTGCTTTCAATTTTTTATTCTTTTTTTTTGTTTTGTTTTTTACAGTTAATACCAATGAGCTTCACATTCTGTGTTGGTTTGTAGTGAATGAGAAATTACCTGTCCAGGTTGGGTAAAGATGCAGTCAGCATTAATGTGGCACCCCCCTCTGTTTTCCATTACACAGTTGTCTACAGGTGAGCACTCAACGCCATCTCCAATCCAACCAGGGTTACACTGACATGATACAATGCCAGGACCAATATTTGTACATATAGCCTAATGAAAAATAAAACACAGTTATAACATAATACATGTACCGGTATGTGCTAGGAAATAGATGGACTCTTTCAGTTAACATATACACTTTTGTGCATTGAGCTAGAACATAAATCTAGAGGCAAACATAAGTCTTTCAATTTTTGCTTGTGCTCTGTGGCTTGGCCTTAAAGGGACATCACTTGCAAAAAATTTTAAATTAACAATAGAGAGAGAAATAGAATATGTAAGTAGAAGCTGATCCAGAAGGCTGGTGGATTAGCTCCAAAAGATCCCACTGCCACTCTCACAAAGGATGGGAAATAACCCACAAATGGTGTATGAAAATAACGGACTGGAAATTAAGTCCTAAATAGGAAAGTGACAATATCTTATTATCTTGAATAATTCTAAGGATGAAAAAATAGCAGGTAGATAAAATACAGTATTTGTGGATAAACACACAAATATACAGCTTTATGATGTCTAAGCATACCTTGGTCCGACTGCAGAAACACTCAGAGTGTCTAAAACTCAAATCAAATGTCGGGACGCTTGCTCAGCACATCCCTAGCATGTATACCAACAGCAAGTATAGCAGAGGTAAAGAAACAAAGGGAGGGAGGTGGAGGGGCCAGGACCCAATAACCACAAACCAAAAGGCTTCAATAAGTCTATCCCTGTAGTACCTCGGCACCGTGGACTAACCAGTAATGCCTACCTGAACCAATCTCCCTGCCTGAAAATAAAAAAATAAAAATAAAAAAAACTAGTGCATATTAAAATAATGTGCTACCAAGTGTAGTGAGGGAACAAACAAACAAGCAAAAAAATTAACAAGAAAACCCTTTTAAACAAATATAAAAACCAAAATAAAGGTTTGAAAAGTATGTAATAAATGTTTATAAACATATTTTAACCCCTTAAGGACCGGACTGTTTTGCGATGTTGTACATTTGCGACCAGGCCTCTTTTTACCCTTTTGTGGTGTTTGTGTTTAGCTGTAATTTTCCGCTCTCTCATTTACTGTTCCCATACAAATTATATGTAAAACAATAGGGGATGATCTGCTAAATCAAAATAAACGAAATATGATAGCATATAACTGTGTGAGTTAAGTGAACCATAGGTGTAATAACAAATGGCCACTCACACTTTCCCAGATGTAATAAAGCCTTGAATAAAAATTCTCTCTCAGGGGTCAGCTTGGTTCTTCCATCACATTTACATTTTGATATGAAAACATCTACATTCTAACCCGTTTATACTATAAATTATATTACAAATTCAATATTTTTTTTCAGGACAAAAAGGGCTTTCTTTACATACCATTATTGATATAATCTCATGTAATTTAATTTAAAAAAAATAAAAAAATATGTTGACAAATGTAAAAAAATAATTTTTTTTGACTTTTACTTGAAAAATATTTTACTCATCTACAAAAGCGAATTTTAAAAACTGCTAAATAGATTCAAAATTTTGTCCTGAGTTTAAAAATACCCAGTGTTTACATGCTTTTTTTTTTGCAAGTTATAGGGCTATAAGTATAAGCAGGATTTTGCGGTTTCAAAACATACATTTTTAAAATGTATCAATAGTGACATTGTAACACTATTATCTGTCATAAATCTCTGAATAATATCCCATATGTACATATTTTTTTTAAAGTAGACAACCCAGGGTATTCAATATGGGGTATGTCCAGTCTTTTTTAGTAGCCACTTAGTCACAAACACTGGCCAAAGTTAGCGTTCATATTTGTTTGTGTGTGAAAAAAGTAAAAAACGAAATCGAACGCTAATTTTGGCCAGTGTTTATGACTAAGTGGCTACTAAAAAGACTGGACATACCCCATTTGCAATACCATGGGTTGTCTTCTTTTGCACATGGTATGCCATCATGGGGGTAATTCTCATTCCTGGGCTACCATACGCTCTTTCCGAAACGCTATTAAATCTGTACATGGGGGGTACTGTTATACTTGGGAGACTTTGCTGAACACAAATATTAGTGTGTCAAAACAGGAAAACGTATTACAACAATATCATCAGTAAAAAAAGCTGTTGGTGTGTGAAAAATGCAAAAAAAGTCACTTTCACTGACAATATCATCGCTGTGATATGTTTTACTGTTTTGAATCACTTAGTGATTCAAAACAGTAAAAAACAGTGTTTACATGCTGAACTTTGTTCAGCAAAGTCTCCCAAAGTCTCCCACTTAGTGATTCAAAACAGTAAAACATATCACAGCGATGATATTGTCAGTGAAAGTGACTTTTTTTTTTGCATTTTTCACACACCAACAGCATTTTTACTGATGATATAATTGTTGTAATGAGCCACACTCTGCCTGTTATGCACAGACTCCAGCCCCCATTTTAGTCAAAACAAGCCCCTCCCAGGAGTCTCTAAGCCTGGGAGATAATTAGATAAGACAGGTAAGCTAATTATCTCCCAGGAACAGGAAAAGTACCCCAAAACATCATAAAATATACAGTAACCCCACAGAAAATACATCCCCAAATAGCCCTGATCTGAGCACCCAAGTTCTCCAAATAGTGCTCAGATCTATGCAGTGTAGGGGAAACGCCACCATGTTAAAGTTCTGATCCTTCGCACACCTGGTCCTATGCCCAAAATAGTTTGTGGCGTTTGTGTGCCTGTGGTGGTCAACTTTTGATAGCTCCTGCATCCGAAATATGGGGTGCTCCATCTGACTCTCAGGTAGCGTTTGTTCCCCTTAGTCTCAGACACCTTCCTTCCAAAAAGTGACCTCCTGATGGGTTGCAAAGTGGTTCAAAACTGTGGACCAAGTTGTCCGGGAACAGGCACGATCATCTCATACTGAAAACAGTTCCATAACATTCGCAGCCAAATCCAACTGAGATGACCGGGGACCCACAAAATCCTCATGCCAAAATTAGTTCCATAGCGGTCTTGGCCAAGTACTGCTGAGGACCATTCGTGTGTTTGGTTCATGCAAACGGCCAGCAGGGAGCTAGCATTTGATTAAATTCGTAAGAAGGGAAAGTGCCGAACCAGGGGCACCCAGGGAAAGCTGCTAAAGGTGGATGAGCAGGGTAACTCCGAAACGGTGTCTCCTTCTCCTCAGACGTCACTGAGAGGGGGAACCAAATGTGCATGCGCAAGGAGCACCATGCAAGCATTAGGACTTCCTAGAGGAAAGCATTGAATCAATGCTTTCATAGGGGGATTTAGAAGACCTCATGCAAAGATTTAGATCTGGGGAATTTGTAATTGAACTCTTTGTCATGTTCTTCAAATCTGAACAAGTTTTGCAGTGTGGCAGGGTGCATTATCCTGCTAAAAGAGGTCACTGCCATCAGAGAACAATCTCTAGGTAGGTGGTACATGATATACTAACATCCACATGAATGCCCTGAGCCAAGGTTTCCTAGCAGAACATTGACCAGAGTTTAACACTGACTCTGCTGGCCTGCCTTCTTCCCATCGTGCATCCTGCTGACATCTTTTCTCCAGGTAAACTACACACATGCACCCAATCTACCTGATCTAAAAGAAAATGTGATTTATCTCCATAAATGTAGTTGCATTGTGATGCTTTCATATTATATTTTATTTCTGTGTGTTATTATTGGTATTAGGAATACTTACATCTTCTGAACACCCTCCTCGATCTGGCTTTCTGCAAAAATTAGCAGGTTGACAGGAGACTCCATCTCCTTCATATCCAACATTACACACACAACTGAAAAACATGGGTAGGCATATCAGATAGATTCCACAATGTTCTATGTTACATTTAACTGAACATAAATATTACTGCTCTATAATATTTCAGTTCTTTGTACTCAATAGACCATGCTCTAATTCCTGGTCAAAGGTTACCTATATTGAACATGCACAAAACTAAACCTTAATTAGGTAATCAAATACCATATAATGGACCAATAAAATTATTATGCACATCGTAGTGTACAAAGCATCTCACCAATTACGTAATGTAATGTGTAAAATAATAAAAACTATTGCTACCGTGTCTCATGTGCTGCTTGAATACATTTAGAGAGATATAGGGAAATATTTATCAAGCTAAATCAGGTATTATTCTGAGTGCAAAATGACAAATGCTGAGAGACC